AAGATTTAAAAGCAACTATTACAGTGGGTTGTTCCCAGAAATGGTCCTAATATTACTTGGTGAGCTGCTGATAACAAAAAATGCAATATGGAGATCAGTTGAAATGCTTGAAACTCGTTCTAGTTGACTCTGATAAACTTTCTATTTCCTGTGCAGTTCCAGCAGCTATGTTTTATCCAATATATCAATTGATTTGTCTCTTCATCTTAGTGCTTCTTTACCCCTTCATTGTGCTGTATTTCCTTCTATGGAAGGTTTTAGCTACTGTAGGTAAGTGAAGATAATGTAAATATGCTCGTGAACCGATCAGTTTTAAGATGGAAACTTGAGATAATTTCCATTAACTTTAGAATGATCGTGTTTTAACTTAATTTATTACATTGCAGTGGCGCCAATTAAGCTTGTAGAAAAGAAGAAAAAAGACTACAAAGAAGCTAAAGAGATTTTGAAGTTGGTATGTGATCATATTGATAGGTTGGGCTTCTCTGGTTCTCACCATCCCTGTTACAGCAGACCAATTCTTGAAGCTGCGTGTCAAGGTGCTTATGAAGTTGTTGATGAGATTCTATTTCGATTCCCCAAAGCAATCGATTGTAAGAATCAAAACGGGCTTAACATCATTCAGTTAGCAGTGATAAACCGTTCAGAAAAAGTCTACAACCTCATCTATCACATAGTTGAGCGTAAAGACTTTTATAGAACAGTTATGGATTCCTCTAAGAACAATATTCTACACCTGGCCGGAAGATTGTCACCTTCACGTATACTAAGTCGTACTACAGGAGCTGCACTGCAACTCCAACGGGAACTGCAATGGCGTGAGGTATGTTGCAAACAAGTTAAAAACTATCATGTGTTTTTGCTCTTCACACTGCTACAAATCAGGTTCATACGACGCAAAAAATGTCTGGAAGTGTCAAAATAGACTTCTTTATAGGACCAAATTCATTTTCAGTTATTCTTCTTTTTACTAGCTTAGCAACTTTTCTATATTTGTGTGTACTATATAAAAGTGTTACTATAAGTTTATTTGATGCTTTTGGCGTCTAAATAAGTCTTTTTAGGACACTTAGATGTAAAACGTCCAATTAATTTTTTGACATTATTTGAAAAAAGTAAAAAGTGTCCTAAAAAAGATGTGTTCATAGCATCCAAAGTGTCCTACAAAAAAGCTAATATGATATTTTAATTCAAAAGTGTCATATTGAACATGTCGAGATGTCCAAAAAACTGTCTTATAAACTTATTACAGTACTTGTACATAGGACGCATAACTGGTCGGCCCTATAAGCTGAAGTTTTATAATCTATTAGGATGGTTATATATTTTTGGCGGCCTATAAACCCAATAATATTAGAGTGTCGGTTTCACAAAGCTGAACTCGTTGAATCCTATAGGAATTGGAGAAATTTGTGTTTCCAGCATACATCACTGAAGAGAACATCTTTAAGGAGACACCAGAAATGGTGTTTACAAGGGAACACGAGAAGTTGGTGAAGGAAGGAGAAAAGTGGATGAAATCCACAGCGGAATCATGCAGTATCACCGCAGCACTAATTACCACAATCGTATTTGCAGCAGCAATTACTGTACCAGGTGGAAGCAATCAAGAAACCGGTATTCCCATGTTTAAGGGAACCATTCCTTTCACCATCTTTGCGGTATCTGATGCAATCTCGTTATTTGCATCCACTACTGCACTTTTAGTTTTCTTGTCAATCCTGACCGCACGTTTTTCAGAACAAGATTTTCTTGTTAGTTTACCAAGACGGCTGATCATTGGTCTTTGCACATTGTTCCTTTCTACAACTATGATGATGATAGCGTTTAGTGCGACGTTGTTCCTTGTGTTTGTTGATCAAAGGAACTGGATGTTGGCTCCAATAGGTGGACTAACTTGCCTGCCGATTGCAGTTTTCGTGACTCTACAATTCCCGCTTGTGGTAGACTTGTTCCGATCAACATATTTCCCCATCTTCGGTAAGCAAAGTTACATAGAGCGTGGTAAATTTAATCCGAATAACATCCAATATTTTTTTGGTAATCGGGGCATCGAGTATGTATTGGAATGATTTGTTGTATTATGCAATTTAGAGTTGAAAACTTGTTGTGTATGTTCATCCGATATGTATCTTTGATTGGCTTAATTAATCACCTACAAGTTTATTTGTTAATTGGGTGTTCCTTATTTGACCGTTGATGGTTCACCGTAGAGATGCCCAAGAATTGGTTCCGAGTTGGAACAGACCTAATTCAGTCTCAGTGCCGACCACTATTCCCTTAAATCAGTCCTGACGTAACCGGTTCCAATCAAAAACCTAAGGGCCGGTCAAAGTATTTTGTAACCGGTTACGAGGACTTGTCCTGGTCCTATGTATCTTTTTTCTAAAATTTGAACTTTTACATAATTCTTTTTGAATTTTAATAATTTTATAGTTTTATAATATATATATATATATATATATATATATATATATATACTATATTATAAAGCATTTGATAAAAGCTCTTAAAAACTATTTTTTATTCATAAAGTACTGTATATTGATGCATATTACTTAAAATTCAAGATTACAAGTAATTATGCATAAGTATAACTTATTAAGTTTCATATTTGAATTCGTGTAACTAACTGCGGATAAACATAATCATATATAGAATAAACATCTCATTTAACATATAAAAAATCTAAAATATAATTAGGATAATTATCGAGTTCTAACAAAATAATTAATTATTATCTTTATAAGAAAATTATATTATTAAAACAGATATAAATTACTTTGTTATTGAACCTAAATTTTATTATAATTAAAAAAATTGAATTAAAAAGTTACACACAAATGAGGAATTTTAAATAGTTAATTTGATACTAATATCAGTATATTTTTGCCAAAATTTTATGATATCTTCAAATTTATATTTTATTCAAAAATAAAAACATTATCGTTTTTTTCAAAATCACGTAAGACCATATTATAACATCGACTGAGATAAAGAATAAAATGAAATATTAAAATCATGATATATTTCACTGCATTGTGCGAGTACCCTTCTAGTATGTGTGTGTGTGTGTGTATATATATATATATATATATATATATATAAAGAGAGAGAGAGAGAGAGGGGAGCGATCAAATAAAAACCGCCCTCATTTGTGTAAAACATGTAAACTAATCTCATTCATCCATTTTTTTATCAATGGTCAAGATTAGTTTACGTTATATTAGGAAATTAAAAAAAAATTAAAAATAAACATTTATTTTATAATCCCAAAAAAGGCAAAATGGTAACTTTGTTAAGGGTAATATTACTGGCAACCATATCATGTTATATCGTAATATTAAAAACGAAATCATTTGTAAAATAATATATTAATTTTATGTTCAAATATTATAAAAAAATAGCATTCATCATTAAAGTAGATCAACAATAAAAATAAAACACATTATAATCAATAAAAATAAAACACATTGATCAAGAAAATGGATGGATGCGATTGATATATATGGTTTACACAAATTATGACGGTTTTTATTTGATCGCTTCTCTCTCTCTATCTATCTATATATATATATATATATATATATAATAATTTATAAAGAAAATTACATTTTATAAATTAAGAAATGGAAAGTAAGGTTCTTGTAAGAACCTGTGGAGTTTTATCGAGGTTTTTTTACTTTATTGAGATGCAATGATGTGATAGAAAAAAAAAATGATAAACACTACAACAAAATTAGCTTTATAGAACGCCTAGAATATTTAAGCGTTCTAATAGAATATTTTATATGATTAAATGCATGAAATAACAACATACTTTCATAAAATTTCTTATTATAGCATTCTACTTTTATTTTCCTTTATTACAGCAATGTACTTTCAAATTATTTCTTATTAAAACATTGTACTTTAAAAAATCTACCTATAATAGCAATGGGTAACCTGTTATCGTTTAAACCGGTTAACTCTTTGACTTTTTTGCTTGTGTGACTTTAATGAGGTGATGTGGATGCCACATCATTTTGATGACTTAACAAAAATTAAAATAAAAATCTATTTCAAATTATTATTAGTGAATTTCATTTTTCATTGCTATAATCTAAAAAAAGATTTATTTTTTTTATTTTTTCTTATTAAGTTGTATTCAAATTAAATATTYTTAGARWRAAATATTTATTAAATAAATATGAAACATTATTTTCGAGATATATTTTGTTTGTAAAAAAARTAATTTTTYTATTTTATGTTGTTCAAATAAATACATATCTTTTAAAATTCTCTTTAAAATATTAACGAAATAAATTGTTATCTACAATTTTTTAATATTGTTATATTAATAAATAATTCAAAAAAGTCTAATTAATTTAATATATTTATACGTCAAGTAAAAAGTTTTTGAACAAATATAATATATTATTTAAAAGATAATCTTTTTTTGGTAAAAAAGGAACAATTCTTATTTTTCTTTTTTCAAAAAACACATATTTTCTTAAAGATGTTAGCGAGATAAGTTGTATTCTACTAATTTTATTGATATTGGTATATTAATGAATAATTTAAATTTTTTTAATTCATTTAATACATTTATTAAATAACATGTAAAAAAATTCAAATATTAATAAGAACTAGTAGATGTTATAATAAAATAATTTTGAAAGTATAATGATGTAGTAAGAAAGTCACATCACTATGGTACATGTGGACAGCCTACGTGGAAAATGAGGTGACATGAAAACCTAGTATAATGGGTAAATTTAAATCAAAAGGTAACCCAATGCTATAATGGGTAAATTTTTTAAAGTACAATGCTCTAATAAAAAATAGTTTGAAAGTACATTGCTGTAATAAGAAAAACTGAAAGTACAATGTTATAATAAAGAAATTTACGAAAATAGATTGCTATTTTGTGCATTTTGCCCTAATTTATAAAACATAAGTTTATCGTACCAAAATATAAAACGTCTTATCTAAAATCGTTATAATAGGTTTATAAAATGCTTTTGGATGTTTCAATAAACTTTTTATGATGTTTTAAAATAAAAGGTCTTATTAGCTATTTTATAGGACACTTTTGATAAGTGTCTTATAAAACTCGTCTTTTTATATGACACTTGTGTTTATAAGATAAATTTTCAAATAGTATCGTATAAAATAGTTAATAAGACATTTTATTTTAAAAGTGTGCAAAAAAACTTTAAAAAAAATTTAAAAACATTTTATAAACTTATTGTAATATTTTTACGTTTTTTAGTTTAGTCTTATAAACTAATTTAATTGTTAACAATTTCACTCATTTTAAAATTACAACTTTGTCTTTTTGCCTATAAATACTTACAGCAATGGTGAGTGTACTTATTTGGTGGATCGCTCAGCATTTATACGAGTGGTCCCATGGTGTGTTAATGGTGCCCGTTTGGTGGGTACATTTAGAAATAAACACTGAAAAATTAGAATTTTTTTTAAATGGTGGTAACGCTTAATTATAAGAAGTTTTTTTAAGCGGTTGGCATCGTTTGACTACAAAAAATAAATATACGGATTTTTCTTAAACGGTGGTATCATTTGACTAAAAAAATGATACTAATAGGATTCGAACTTGGGTCTAGAGTGGAATAAAAGTCTTGCAAATCAACTCTACCAAATAAATTTGTTCTTATTGTAGTTTCAAAATACATATGGTTGCACCTTTTACAAACCAAAATTTTTTATCCTTCGACGGAGGAATAATACGGTAGCACGTGCCACCGTATGCACCACTATAGGTCCGTTCCTGGATGTAAACAAGCAGAGTCGAGTTGAATAGCAGGTTATTTAGCTCTACTTGGAAAAATCATACCAGACTCAAGCTCTAATAACTTTTTTCAATGTTAGGTCGAGCTCGATTCATGAACGCTTGTACTCGCGATCGATTAACTCCTTTATTGGCTCGAGGTTGTTAATTATATATATATATATATATATACATATATATATATATATATATATAAACATTTTTATTGTATTATTTATGAACATATGAGCATGTTTGGTTCGTAAAATTTAATCGAGCTCTCGAACTAGCCGAGTCGAGCATTAGATTCATGAAGTTCGACTTGTTAAGTTAAACGGGTTCTATATTGTGTTCAAGATCGACTCGAGCTCAAGAATTATTAAGCTCGAGGTTGTGTAGTTCGTTAAAAAACTCGACTTGTTTTACATCCCTAGGTACATGAGTGTTTATTAATATAATTTATATATATGGGCAGGTTCAAACAAAAAATTAAAAAAAAAAAAGAAAAATGTCGTTAATGTATAAAATCATATATGATTCAGCGTGACTTTTCCCACGACTTAACTCACATCAAAAGTCGTCCAATTCCATTTTTTTGACGTTAATATAAAATCGCATGTGATTTTGTACATTAACAACATTTCTCTTGTTTTCTTAAATAGTTAGCGTTCTCGTTTGAACTTTCATCTCTCTCTCTCTCTGTGAATATATATATATATATATATATGTGGTAACCGTGAGGTCCAATATCAACCACAAATCAATAGATAAATTAGGAAATTTATAATTTTTGTAATTTTTAATTAAAATTTTAATACAAAGACATTTTAGGTATTTTCTTTCCTCTCTCCTCTCTTCTCTCTCCGTCCCTCGGCCTCCGTCCTCTGGCCTCCGGCCACCGTTCTCCGGTGATACCACAGTGGTAACACAATGAATCTTATATGTGATTGGGTATCACACTGAGGTTATTTGTGTGGTCGATCGGATATGTAACACAGTGGTATCATAATGCATCTTATATGTGCTTGAGTATCACATTGTGGTATAACCGAAGGGCGGTGGCCGGAAGACGGGGACAAAGAGAGAAGAGAGACTTTTTTTAGTTTTTAAGAGGGGTTGCAACAGGTATTATCATGTTATCACAAACATAAGAAATTAAAGTAGAAGTTATTTCAAACTGTTATGTTTAGCAATTGGGGTTATGGATTTTCAGTTTGCATACTCGAACAAATAAAAATTTGCAGTCGAAGTAACTACGAACTTCAATGATCTGATCAAATAATATTATTATGGTGGAAAAATTGATTCAAATAGAAATAATAGGGTAAATTTTTTACTCAACACATAGAAAATACCTAAAATGCCCTTGCATAAAAATTTTAATTAAAAAATACCAAAATTATAACTTTCCTAATTTATCTATTGATTTGTGGTTGAGATTGGATCTCACGGTTACCACAAACTAGAACCGACCAAGTTTTTGTTGGTCGGTTATATTTCACACCTCTAGACTAATGAAATTGGGTCAAAAGCAAGTATACAAGATGGCCCAATGTCGCCTTTCCAAGTAATAAGTGGTACAAGTACCGAGTTATAATCCACAGAGATTGTAGCCGAAGTTATATTAGAGTCCAATGAAAGAGATGATTTCATATGGCGATTTCGAAGACTTTTCTCTGATTTTAATATGATCCAAAACAAATTTCAGAATATATAAAAGAAGCAAGGGTGTGAGACTTAAGGTGAGACCCAAACACGAATTCCAGCAGCCAATGCTATAGGAATGCTATAGCAAGCAGTGTTCCGAAACTAAGTTCCACCATCTATTTTGAATGCATTCCTCTCGGACTTCACCATTTCACTATCTTATAGCTTTCCACCCATATCTCTATGTGGTGTCCGGACCGGGGATAGTGACACAATGGTGTTTTCAAAATATATGGATAAACAAATCTCTTTGTTAAAAATCACTCTCTCGAGCCGATTCCCATATCATTCGAGTTGGCGTGTTCTTGATATTTCATCTCTGAATATATCACACTTTGACACTTTTGACAAGCGACCAACCTGTCGGGAGTTACGTTTTGAAAAACATAAATGACAAGTCTCCTTGTCGGCAACTTTCTCAAGTCTACCTCTTATGTCATCGAAGTTGACGTGCTTATTGATGACTTATCTCTAAGTCCATCGCACTTTAACACTTTCAAGTGATCAACCCGTCAAGAAGTGTGCTTGGTTTTATAAAAACTCGAATGAAACAATGGAACGTCGTTTTCGAAAACACTTAACTACTTTCGTTCGGTTTGAAAATCTCACATTTTTGTCTCACACCCAAGCTATAAAARCTTAGCTACTCATAACGGAAAGTAAAAAATAAATGACGGAAAGTAAAGACATAAATGTAAATTGCGTAAAGTAAATAACGAGAAAATAAATGACGGGAAAGTAAATAACGAGAAAATAAATGACGAGAAAGTAAATGACAAGAAAATAAATTGCGGAAAGTAAATGACGGAATGTAAATGACAATAATCGTAAAGGAACTTAAAATAAAGAGCGGAAAATGAAAGACGAGAAATTAAAGAAGAAAACTCAAAAAACTCAAGAACTTGGAAATTTTTCTCAAAAGCTCTCAAAATCAGCTCTCACTAGCTGATTTTGATCCTTAAGATATGATATGAGAGATGTTTAAACAAGTGCCCAAGCACTCCTATTTATACAAGGAGTCTTAGCCAAAAAAGTAAAAACCCAATAGTTAATGACCAAGGTTTAATAACAAAAAGGATCATATGCAAAAGATTATCCCTTGGTCCAAAAATTTCCAGATTACACAGATCTTCCAGCTGGCATCTGGCTGTCTTCCATTCAGCATCCAAAAATCAGCAGCTTAATCTTTAAGCCCTTGCTCATCCGTGTATGCAGCAGGCGGTTGCTGTTGAAATGCTGCAGTATCGGTCTGTTCTACAAAAATTTCACCGTTAACTTATATTTTCATGCTCCAACAAGTCAAAACACAATATTTTAGCTCCATAACAAAAGTAAAAATAAATAAATTAAAATGACTCAAAGTGGGAACGAAAGACAACTAATTTTAACTAGAAAGACGTAAAACGGATGCATTATGTGTTGAATTCTCAACACATATCAGTCATCTGGAAGGATCGTCCCCGCGCCCCTCCTTGTCCTCCTTGGTTTCCAGTAGGTCTTCCCCGAGCATTCGATGCATTGCCTCCCATTGTCAGCTGCGGATTTCTTAGCAAAGGGCAATTCGGTCGAATATGATCCGGAGAGTTACAGTTAAAACACCTTTTGTTGGTTGGACAATTTCTGGACAAATGACCCGCTTCACCACATTTATAACATTTTCTCGGATCCATCTTACCCTCATCTTGATGAATTTTCTCATTGTTCTTCTGTTCAAATCTGTTATTATATCTTACAGTCTTGGGTCCTCTAAAAGACGAAGGTCCTTCCCATTTCCTTTTCTCAACAATCCTCCCTTCTGACTGTCTATTCTTGTTTCTTTCAGTCACTTCAGCCGCCTCTACTGTTAGTGGAAAGGTATTGGGGTTCATTGCAATAACAAATTCCCTGATTGAGGACTTCAGACCCCAAATAAACATTTCTATCTTCCTCGATTCGGTTGAAACATAATGTTCAGCAAAACGAGAGTATTCAATAAATTTTTCAGTAAACTCCCGTACAGTCCTATTTCCTTGTTCCAGCTTCAAGAAATCTTCTTCCATTTGTCTCACAGTCGTTTTAGGACAAAATTGATTCTTAAATCGATCTACAAATTCTATCCATGACATATTCTGTAACACATCCGTTCTGGTAGACGATTCCACTTCCCACCAGAATAAAGCATTTGACTTTAATACCGAAACAGCAAATCGTACCTTATCTGTTTCCGGGCATCGGATAGTGTTAAACACAGATTCCATCTCCTTGATCCAGCACATTG